ACATGCATCCAGATCGTCTCAGGTTCCTCTACACACTTCATCACAACAAGAAAGCTGACTTTGGCATTATTGCATATGAACAGCTCATGGATATGTCTCACTCGGCTGATGATGCAAAGAGAAGAATCGGTTTTCCTTCACTCATTCATCAGTTGTAGCACTTTCAGCGGATTGTACCTCGGCGTGAAAGAGATGAAGAGTTCACAGGACACCCCACTGCTCTTGTCAAAGATGGTAAAGCTGGCAGAGGAATAGGGGGAGTTAGCAAACCACCAAATCTGGTCGACGACCTTCAAAAGGTCATCAATGATCTCCGAGCAATTCAGCTTTGCAGTCGAAGTAAGTGCTATGCCCTCTTCATCTTTCATTTATCTCACACGATTGTTTTTATCTAATGATGCACTCAAGCAGGGGAAGAGTATGTTGGAGAGGAGCCAGTGCATATCATTGATAGCGATGATGAGGAGGAGGAGTAGGATTGCTAGATAGTTGCTAGATATTTGCCTTATTTTCTTTCTCATGTTTCATGTTTCGGTTTCGATTTGAACTATGTTTCAGTATGCGGTGTAGTTGAACTTTCTAGAACTAAGTGGTGTGTAATCTTGGATGATCTAGACTTTATCAATGAATGCATTTGATTTCTGGTTTACTTTGATTGTCTCTGTGCAAGTGCTTTGCTGGTCGTGTGTTTTGGTGTGCATGTTTCATGACAAGTGCTTGAGGTGTCACATTAAGATAAAAAGGGGGAGAATGTAAGCTCAAGTTTCTGAGCATGACGATTGGGGTGTCACACCGACAGGAGACTGTGTTACACACAAGTGAGCTCAAGTGTGTTTGAGCGTAAAGGCTGAGGTGTCACACAACGTGGAGCGTGTGTTACACAAGGAGTGAAATACAAGGAAGCCGTTTCAGAAGATAATGACCCAAGATTCTAGGATGTTTGTTAGGCAACAAATAAAGAGATATTGGGAGGATTCTTACTTATCACAATAGGATACGTTTGGGTATATATTGGAGATAGAGTTCATATGGTTAGGTTACGGCTTTGAGATTTTATTGACATCGAGCTTTAGTGTTTCTAAGCTGCGATTCTGGTTAGCAATTGGTGAGGCTTGTCTCGACCTTTGTGTTTTGGGTAGATTAAGAATTGGTCTGTCTCTAGTCAAGCTGTGACGTAGAGTAAATCGGATTAAACAGATCTAGTGAGATTGTTTAAGTTATTCTTAATAAAGCAAGTTAGTTTTTCTTGGAAAGTACTCGAGTTATTCTTTTGTGGTATCCATACAAACTTTCAGTTTCTTGTTGTTGGTTGAAATTAGACAACATATAACAGATGTAACAAATTCTTTTTATTAGGCATAACAATAACAATGTCTAGCAAAAATAAAACAATCGCAAATTGCGATAGAAACAAAAACCGAGAAGCAGAGCCATTTGGCATTATTCAAGTTTGCTGTTATGAAAAATGTTCAATATCCACTGCATTTGATCAGGCTTGGCCCTATGCATATGCTGGGGATACATTGGCACATGATCCATCATCAGTTTTTGATTTTTTAGCCCAAATTAGGGATTTTCTTCAAGAAAAAAAAAATTTATATGAGGAAATTTTTAGCCTAGAGCCCATATAATACTTGAGACGGACCTGCATTTTATACATCTCTTCAACTCAAAGACAATACCAACCCTTTCATTTCAATTTTGTAAAGAGCGTGGGAGTAACCTGAAGATTCCAAAATCCATATTCAACTCAATACCAAACTGTAAAACGAAAATGTGGAGAGCAAAACCATTACTCAACAAAGACTTGCACATATGTCAAAGTAATGTCAGTAGGGATGTCAAATGGGCGGTTTGTCCATGAGCGATCCGTGTCCAATATGTTATAAGCTAATATAGACACACCCATATTAAACCAAATTTAAATAAGTTTAGATGGGCAAAACCAATTGTATACATGGACAAAACCAGGCTTGACCATGTGGACATTGGGCGGCCCAAATAAATAAAATGTCTAGGTTTAAGAAATTAAGAAAAAAAATATTTTATCGTACTAAAATCACTAAATCGATTTTTTTTTCAAAATCGAAAAATCGTGTGTCTTACCAAAATCATAAGATTTCATTTCCCGGCCCAATCCGGAAAATACATTTTCCTACAAATGCGTTTTTTCACTAAAACCACAAAATCATGTTTTCCCCTGAAATAACTAAATCGCGTTTTTCTGTCAAAACCTCAAAAATCATATTTTCACCAAAACTGTGAATTCGTATTTCCCGCCAAAACAAAAAAAAATCACGCTTTTTCGTCAAAACTGCAAAATCACGTTACAAATTGTATTTTCTCATTAAAACCATAAAATTATATTTTCTTGCCAAAATTATAAAATTAAGATTTCTCGCTAAAACCGCAAAATCTAATTTTCTCGTTGAAATAAGAAAAAAAAGTATTTTGCTATCGAAACCACAAAATCGAGTTTTTCCTCGAAAAAGGCAAATTATAAATAACAAAATTTTAAATCTAAATTATATATGAAATTTATAATATTTATATCGTTTACAATAAAATTAGACATCCCCCTATATATTAAAAGAGAAGTCACTTTAATGAATTTTGCTTACGTGTCATTCATAGGTGCAATGTAGAATTAATTCTCTTAATCTGATTGGTTGTTGGAATTTGAATTTTTATTTATTTAATTAAAGTTTTTTAAAAGAAAACTAATCCTAGAATTACCTAATCTAATATATATTACCAAACAAACAATTAATCATCTTAAATACATAGGATTAATAGAATTTGTTTATAGAAACAATTAAATATCACATATTCCATTATAAAAATTTAGAATATACATATAAATACATATTATATTATAGAAATAAGTATATAAACAATTTTAAAAAATTTCTATTAATAGTGGATAAAAAATCATACATTACAGAAAACTAATAATATTTTTATACTCACTCACTATATATGTGTATTCTTAAAATATGTTCAATGAATGCAAACAGTCAAATGTAAAATTTTAAAAATATTCTATCATTTTCCAAAGATAAATGTCGATAGTATAGTTGAGTTATCATATCACTTTCAAAAATTATTTAAGTATTTTTATATTTAAAACAGAAAATCATATGGTATGTCATTTTAAAAAATATGAATAAATGAAAAAAAATATTATAATATAAAATTACACAAAATCAAAACATTATATTAATACAAGACTAGAGTTAATATTCTATTCATATAATTCATATAGCTTTAAGTATAATAAAATTGACATGTTTATTTTTAATAAGAAAAAAAGAAAAGAGACATAAATAAAAAAATGAGTGAATAATAATAAAACCATTTGTTGTATTCTTCGTTATTTTGTATTTGTACATACATAATTTTTTATTTGTATACCAAAATATTTTTTACGTATTAATATAATTGTAAACTAATTATTTTTAGGTGTTTATACAACATAAAGAAAAATTGAGAAAGGAAGATAAATATAAAGGATAAGTTATAAAATTGTTAATGTTGTTGAAGATGCAAAATATAACACAAATAAAAATTTAAAATTAATTGTTTTAAAATAATGATAAATATTTTCTGCGGTGTAATAAACTTTTAAAATATATGATAACAAAGTTATAACAAAATTTATACAACTAGAAACATGTTATTTTGATATATTAAAACTGTTGAATCTCATGTTTATATTAATCTATTTCTAAAATAATGACATCACATCATTTAAAAATTAAGATATTTTATGTTATATAATTATTTAATAAAATTTAGTTTTTTGAAATATAGTTATTTAGATTTACTTAAAATATGTATGTAATGAAGTAATTAAAAAAACAAAATTAATGATAAGATATTTATTTTTTTAATGAAAATCTTGCTCAAACGAATCAATGTTTGATAAGATAGTGTGAAGATTAGAGAGAATTTGATAATGAATTTTTTGGTTAGCCAATTTTGTTTTTATATTAAATTCTAAATTAAAAAAAAATATGTAAGAAAGGGAGAAAGAGAGGGAGATATGGTGATGATAAGGATTAGAGAGTCGGTTATGATCATAATGAAGATGACAGTGACTATAAGTGAGAGACTGAATATAAGTGAGATAGATTCTGAAATCATTTATTAATACTATGTGAAAGTGTTTTGAAGATTTAACAAAATGTGGTGAAAATTTTACAACCAAAGAGAGATAGAAATAGTTTTAAAGTGAAAGATTGAAGATCATATTAAGGACGCTGGTAAGAGAATGAATATAAGTGATTGTGAGAGAGTGCATGTAAGTTTGGGAGATTTTGAGATTATTTGATCAACTAGGGGCATGCCCATTAAAGGTTTATGAGTGGTTTATTGCACATAAACATAGGTGAATTGATTAAAAATATTGACCCAGATGTGATACTGTCTCGCGGAAGCTCTTGGTTGTGAACGTGTATCACAACTTTTTCGCGGGTCCCACGCCACGTGGCGGCCCGCGATTGGTCCACTTATTATTATTATTATTTTTTTTAGAAAAAGTCAAACGAAAAATAAAAAAAAATAAAAAAAAGTTGTAAACCCCTCATCAGGTTTAATGATGGGGATGGTCTAAGAGAGAGAGAGAGAGAAAGAAAAAGAGAGAGAGAGGTGTACAAAGACATACAAAAATAATGCAAAGAGATACATAATAAACAAAACGAATGTGTGAAAAAATACAAGGAGAAACGAAATGAGTAAGATAGAAAAATATATTAAAAACAGAGTATCTATGTAAAAGAGAAAGAAATTAAATATATTTATACATTAATATTATTTTTTATTCATACAATGTATAGATAATATTAATGTTTGCACAGGCGTGCGGGCCGTCCACCTAGTTTACACTAAATGAGGAGAGGAGGGGGCTGGTTTGAGTCCCACGGGCAACCCAGTTAAACATGTTCCTATTTGGATATGGTTTTATTTGTTCGTTAACCAAAACCGTTGGACACGTCCAAATGGGTCCAGCCAGCCCATTCGACATCCCCAAATGTCAGTAGTCAAAGCACTTCCCGGTGCAATGCTTGTGGCCATAGTCATCACTTTGGTTTCTCTTGACACATACCTGACTACGACAAAAAAAAAGACTTGTATCAGTAAACAGTAATCTTCACATACAAGGCAATGCTATTCCCTTCAGTTCACCTGATTTTCAAACATTTTGGATTGCAAGATTCCTCAAGGTACTTCTTTGGATCAACAACTTCATCCTCTGCCCTGAAATTACTACAAACGAAGGAAGAAGAAAACAAAGGTACTAGTTTGGGAGTTTATTTGGTTCTTGAACTTACTAAAGTGTCTTGAAAGAGATCTGCTCAGGGTTGAACCTGAAGTTTCCAGTTCCCATAGTTTTTGTTCTTCTTTCCTTTTATTCTTGTAACTATGGAGATATACCAAATGAAGTTTTGTTTGCTCTTTCTGGTTTGGTGCAGGCGTTGAGATTCCCAAGTACGTGGACAATGTTACCCCTGAATACAAGCCTAAGTTTGATGCTTTGGTGAGCAATGGCTTTTACAAACTTCATTGTTTTTCTTTGACAAGGGTGTTTTTAGCTAAATCCTTTGTGCCATGTTTCATTCTCTATGTAGTTGGTGGAACTGAAAGAAGCAGAACAGAAGTCTCCGAAGGAGTCTGAACGGCTTGAGAAAGAAATTATTGATGTCCAAGAGATAAGCGTAAGCATTCCCCAATGACAAGTTTTATCTTACAAAAAGTTTTATTTTATGTGTATTTTTTTTGTTTAACTCAATATTCTGATGTATGATCATCTGTCTTTACCTGTGTGTGTTGGTGTAATCAGAAAAAGTTCAGCACGATGACTGCAGATGAGTACTTTGAGAAGCACCCAGAACTCGAAAAGAAGTTTGATGACGAAATCCGTAATGACTACTGGGGATACTGATCATCATGTTTCTTGCATCTCCGGCCTGGAATAGAAACTATCCTTCTCTTTCTTTCTTGTTCTGATTTTTTTAAATAAGTACGCTCCACACTGTTGTGATCTTCATTGGAGATCCAATGAGACGATGATGATCAACGTATCTGGTTATAGTTATCAATTTCATGGACAAGGGTGACTGTTTTCATTTCATACCACAGCTGGTATTAAGGACAACTGCTATGTGCTTGATGACGAAATAACATGCATGAAATATACTGGCCCTAACGTCAAGTGCAAGAAGCTCTTGGTGAAAGGATTAATGAAGCATCATCTTTTTGAATTAAAAATAAATCGCAAATAACTAAAATGATGAACATAAAAAGTAAAAATTTAAGAGAAATCCAGAAGTTTCATTAGATAGTAAATAAGTATACCTATAGAATTTTTAGGGCTTTTTGCAAATTTGACTCAAAACTCCAAGTCAAACACAAAACTAACCTCTTCTTTTGACTCATCTTGTTTTTGTCCTATTCACCCCACATCTTCATTTTATTTACGAAAATGCCATTTATATGTTTTTTGAATTTTTTTTCGAAAATGGCATTTTTACTCTCTCAACCTCATCATCTTCAAGTATTTACAACANCAACCTTGTACAACCAAGGTTTGAAGCTTTTAATGCACTTAAAATCGATATCCATACTCTCTTTCTCAATTGTTATGAACTAAAAACAACATCTCCTTCACTTTGTCTCCATATTCATACCAAAAACCCAAGCTTTTGATAGCAAATTTTTTATAGTTGATAGAGCCATTTAAGCATACATTTCTTGGTGGGTTACTTTAGTTTGATGTTCTGGGTGGTTGGAGAAGACTCTGTGTGCAAAGAAAGTCATCTCACCTAGTTTAAGGTACGAAATTGAATTTTTTTTCCAGATCTGTTCGCCTAGAAGACTTACCCGTAAGTTATCTGGATGTAGAAGACTTAAGGATAAGTCTTCTGGTCAAATGGACGACTTACTTCTAAGTTATCCAGATTTGTTTGTTTAAAAAAAAACATCAGACGACTTATAATTAAGTCGTCTGGATAAACTGGGTTACTTTTGCATTTGACCGAAATGTGTCAGATACTTGACTTTTTCTGGACGACTTACAGTTAAGTCTTCT